ATTCGGGCCCCGAAAAGCTGTTCCATTCGGGTCCCGGATTTGGGCCCCGAAAAGGGCCACGATTCGGGCTCCGAAAAGTCGTATACCATTCGGGTCCCGGATTCGGGCCCCGAAAAGATGTTCCATTTGGGCCCCGGGTTCAGGCTCTAAATTGTTTTCAAGCTGGAAAAACTCTCCGTGTTGGCTCCGAAGACTTGTTCAAAGTTTGGGCCGGGTTCAGGCCCCGAAGTTGCCACAGAGGGAGCAGGGGACAGTGGCGCAATGGCAGCGCACCCGGCTAACCTGTGGCATCGGATGCCACAGGTTAGGTAGGGAGGTCGCGGGTTCAAATCCCGCCTGCCCCCCATCTTTTGCGCAGAGTGACCCTCGGGGGGCTTCAACAATTCAATTGCCGAAAGGAGCTCTGGCGCCTTTGGCAGGCATGGCTGGCCTTGTGATGTGGAAGGTCTGAGAAACACATGAACACGCAGTGGCTGTTGAAACTCACGCGGGCTCCTTTTTCACACTCTCAGCTTTCCCCGCGACATGTCAATTGCATGTCTCCCCGACCATGTTGCTACTAAGAAGCAAGCAGCAATTGCAGCTTGCAAAAACCGCCGTTTGGGAAAACAGCAAGGCGTCCAACTGCGGGGGCGCAGTTGTTTGAACACCTGATCCAATCTGTACTGGAGACAAAGTCGATCAGGGCTAAACTGCTCCCAAGCCAGTGTTGTTTGGCTTCCGGAAGAGGCATCCTCGGGGGATGGCTCAGTTGTTGCATCGCAGCTGGGCGAGACATCAGGTTGCTCGGAATCTTTCGTCTGCTGCCACTTCCTTGCCAGGACCTGGGCCTCTGCCCAAGCCACTGCGACAAGCCCTGGCATAACTCGCTCACTCAGTGGCAAATCGTCGGCACTCCCCACGTAGAACTTCATCCCGAAGCCAAACTTCTGTGATTGTCCAAGGCCTTTCACCACAAAGCTTGAGTTGTCCAGCTTAACCATAATCTTGCAGCATCCTGCAGGCTTGACCGTGTAGGAATGGTTGCCAACAGGCGGTGTCTCAGGCATGGCATCCGCAGGTAAATGGAGGAGCGTGGGGTAATACTTCATCAAAATGTTTCCAAGCCGCTCCTTCTGCTGCAGAATGCTCCGCAAGTCTGGGTGGCTAAGCATGTCCCAGTCCCCCGACTCATCACGCTTGCGTTTCCGCTCTGCGCGAAGGTCAGCCCGACTGCCGAAAATCACCGTGCTCTCGTGTTCAGACGACATGTTTGGAAACCTTCGGCAAAACTCGGGCCTTAATGACTGCGGCGATGCAAGTCAAGGGCAGGACGACAAGCAGCAGCAATGCCCGTGCACTCACACCAAAACAAAGCCTAGCAGTGCTCATGCACATGCGAACACCACACTCCGTGGCTCGATGCATTTTCTTCAATCCAAGGCCACACAAATTCAGCCTCAAAAACACTGTGCGTTGTGGCTGGCGGCGGGCCTGTCTCAGTCTCTACTCAGAGGAGAACACAGTGACTGGTTTTGAAGTTCCAGCTGCGTTTCAGCAGCTGGCGGCAGCACGCTGATTTGCGCGCTGATCTTGGTGCCATGGCGAATTCTTGATGAGGGGTCCAACTTGGACACGGCCAATTTGATCGAACTTGGTGCCAGGGACCTGGTCGGCGGTGTCGACCAATACAAACTCCGAATCCTGAACCTGCGTGTCAGCGTCCTCTCCTTCTGCATCAGATTCATGCTTTACTGCAGTCATCTGCTCGATGTCATCAGGATGCCAGATGGCGTTGCCAGGAAAGAGAGAAAGTGGCATGAACCTGCGAATCATGTCAACGTCTCGTCTGTGAAGGGCCTTCAGCATCACCCGTGGTTTTGGCACGGGGTCACTGATTGGCAGGCAAAGTGTCGAGGAATAGTCCTGGGACCACTCAACCAGGTCAGGCACGCGATCGAGCTCGTCCTGCCAGCCCCAAATCATGAAGCGCTTCTCCCAGGAAGCATGGCCAATCGGCCCATAATCTCCACCATAAGGGGCACGTTGAATGTCATACACCACACACCGCAACTGATAATGCTTCCTCTTGTACTCGTTGATGGCACATATCAGGTTCTTCGCGGGCCCTGGCACCAGCTGAACCCAAGGCCGATGCTCGATCCACTGCTGCACTGAGGAAGTGCGAGTTTCGTGATTGCACCAGTCTGCAGTTTCCTCTGTGTAATGTCTTTCCAGATAATCGTCGCTGTTCACATGAATGAACACTCGCAGATCCTTGAACTCCTCCATGCAGATGGGGCTCCCTTTGCGAAACACGATGGCTTGATCCAACTGTTCCAGTATCTCCGCATGAAGCTGATAGAGCGGGAAGAAGCTGGACTTCCACGTCACCAAGCAAGCGTGGTCGCCTGGCTGAAACCGTGCCTCCTGACGGCCCATGCTGTCCAACCATGACGACATAATTACTGTGGTAGCACAGTAATGTCTGTGGAAGTGGGACTGACGCGCAGTAGCCTAGATGTGAAGCGAAAACATCTGCAGGGCAATAACATCAATCAACAACATGGCAACTTTCAAGGACAGTCGCAACTTGCAAGGTCCAACACGCAATGCTTGCTCTTTTGTTTCTTTGCCCATCACGCGGTGCCATGGTCTGCTGCGCGCCCGCAGCAGACATTGCCACAAGGTCTAGTTTACATCATCAGCGGGAGGAGGTTTCACAAATTTGCGTTGCCTTCTCTCAGGGCTTGGCATTGAAGCTATCGCATTCTTCCTCTCTGTGCTCTCAAGCCAGGCGTTCCGGGCAGCATTACTATCCAGGCTGTTCTCGGCAGCGTTGTCAAAGAAAGCTTTTCGGGTATTTTCATAATTTGTGGTTTTCTTTGACGCGCCCTTGGCTTTGGCCTTGCCTTTGGCTTTGGCCTTGGCTTTGACCTTGGCCTTGGCTTTGGGCTCTTTCTTGGCCTTGGCTTTGGCCTTGGCTTTGGCCTTGGCCTTGGCTTTGGCCTTGGCTTTGGCCTTCGCTACTGGACATGGAGGATTTTTTTATGCGTCTTTGTCTTCTTCTTCTGCTTCTTCTTCTTCATTCATATCTTCGTTCTCGTCCTCCGGCTCATCAGAATCATCCCATCCCCCCGCCTCGCCGAAGAGCTGCTCGATGGAAGGCTCAGCCTGCTGGTTGCCAGAGTCAGGCTCATCGCAATTGTCGTTCTTCCTCAGGCTCGGGAAAAAGTTGCCTTCTTCGATGCCGCCGCTCATGAATGGCAATGCTACTTACTGGCTTGAGGGGCTCATGGTTGGGCTCTCAAGAGCACAGGTCGTGGACTGCAAATGGTTCTCCGTGCACTGTCAGTTCAAAAGACAGGACACTCACAATTGCAGCAGCGTGTTCATCCCATTTTCCTCGCAGCGCTCCGAACTGCAATCTGCCCTGGGTCTGTGATTGCTTCGCTGCCAACAGACATGTCCCGCTATCATCATTATTGTCATGCGCTGGCTAAACAAAAGAATGCACAAACTGTGGCACCACAGTTTGCTTAGTCATCACTGCCCACAGAGTCTTCACTCAGATTCTCCTCCTCGACGTCCTCTTCATCTTCAATTTCTTCGTCTTCTTCGTCTTCTTCAATCAGATTTTCTCCGACTTCTTCTTCGGAGCCGCCTTCATCTTTGCAGCCTTCTTTGGCTTCGGCTTTGCATTGGCACCTCCCCGCGACTTTCGCTTCTTGCCTGTCACCGTGGACGTGGAAGGCTCAGGGGTGCTGCTGCTCTGCGCATGCGGAAGGTGCAAAAGTTTTCCCAGCTTTGCGTTGAAAATCTTGTCGTTGGCAGGGTCAGTCATCGCCGCGAGGAGCTGTGTGCAGACCTGGGCCTTGAACCGCTTGGCGTGCTTGTGTGAGAAGCCTGGCGTGCTCTTCTTGGGCACCAGAACCAAACTCGAGCAAAAGGACATCAAACTGCGATGCAGCCAAGGAGCAAATTGCTGTCACTGGAATTCTTTTTGTCAAAATCACGCTGGCTGTCGCAGGCTCTGCTGCTGTCATGAGTGTGACAGCCCGTGGCCGATACCGGCGCAACAATTCCTCGATCATGTGCGAATGCCTTGGATTCCAAGTGATCGGTTCTCCTGCCACGTTGTCCTTTGCACTTCCATCTGTTCGCTGTTGGTTGTTCGGTGCACCAGCCACGCGGAAGCTTCCAAGCAACTCGTGCTTGGACACAGGTGCCAGCCTTGTCAGCCCTGCCAAATCATGCCGGGGGACCCCGTAGACCTCAAGAAACTCGCACGCAAACAAGGGGCGCAAGCTGAGCGCGCCAAACAACCGCGCACTGTTTGGTTTATCCAAGGCGCAGCATCTGAACACACGGTCCCCTCAAAATGTGGGTTCTTCCGGCTTCCCGTGATAGCTTGCAGCTTTTGCGCATCCGTGGTGGTCACCAAGACCTTTTCTGCCAAGTTAATCACGTTGACCTCATTATCAGCCCCCGCGCCTCCGAGGAAATCACATTAAAACACTGAGGCCCTGGCCCCACGCTCACTCGCCGTCCCTGACAGATTCCTGGCCTTCCTGTTCGCAGTTGTCGAGGCCTCACTGTGGATTAAATTCCACATCTTAGTCACGCCGATGCCCTTGAACAGGTTGTTCCAATGAGAATGCAGGCCTGACCGGCCTCCGTCAAAGAACAAGAATCTAAGATGAGCAACGCATGGACGGCGCACGCATCCTGTGTTTATGTAATAAGCTAGGCAACACATCCGAAGCGTCTGGGGGAGGCGGCCCGTCCGAGTCGTCAAAGGTCAAAGTGGATTGCATGTTTCGTGCAAAAAGCACGCCCTTGACCACTTTCTCGAAGTGTTCTTTCTGAAACGGAGGGGGTGACCTCCGAGCGTCGGTTTTATGCTCTCCTGCCTGCTCAACGTCCCAAATGAAAAGTTGGGAACCCTCCTGGCTTCGCGTCTTTAGGAATTCCACCTTCGACAAAGCAAGGATGAGTTTGTCAATCTCTTGGTCAGCCACCGCGACCTGCAAAAGGGAATTGACAAGGTCCTTGGCGGTTGTCTCAGTTTCTAGCAGAAACTCTTTGTCTTCAGTCTTCAGAGCTTCAACTGCATGGACAGCCTCAGTTGCCTTGGCTTCATTGGGCTCTGAAAGGCGGATGGCGGCTTTCACAAGGGCGGCGTCATCCAACGCACCTTCGTCCGCTGACTCCGCCTGCGTTGCCGCAGCCGTGTTGTCGGCTTTCTTGGTTAGCTTGTCCCAGATGGGCTTGAGCACCTCGCGCTCGAGAAGGGCATTCACGTCAAAGTTGGTGTGCAACACGCTCTTCACCTTCTCGTCGTACTTCTTGGTGTAAATGAGATCTGCCAGAAATTCTGCAGCCTCTTGACTGGCTGGCTGCAGCGCCCCCAGCCACGATTTGTTGGCCACGACTTTCACGGATTTGCCTCGGCGCCATGTCCAGATCATTACAATGTCATGGGCGACACTTGAATCACCAATTGCAGTCAAAATGCTAGGGACAAGTTCATTGTCAGGGATATTGTCGAGCGTCTCCCGCGAGAAGAGAAGGCCACCAGCCATTGCCTTGCGCCACGTCTCCTGAGTGGAGAGTTTCTCCCGGATGCGTTTTGCGTCCTCACATGGCAGGCTCTTGTGAGCCAACAGCATGTCCAGGATCTCATCTTTCAGGACATACTTCCATGCCCACATATGGAACAGCCTCAGAAGCAGCGCGCCCCCATCAATCAAGGCAAAACCTAAGCCAAAAGCAGCAGTGCTAGGAGTCAGGCCCTTTGGAATTATTCCCACGGGTGTTCTTGCCGGCCAACGCCTGGGGGTTGAGCTCGCCTTGCTTGAAGATTTTGTTCAACGCCGCATCCATGAGGGCATCGAACACCCACTTCACGCAAGGCGGTTGCTTCTTGCAAGCAGTGGCAAGCATATATGGACTTGATGGGACTTCGCTTTCCGAAGAGCTCCTCAGAAAGCAGGACGTCCTCTCGGAAAGAAGTGTCACTGAGCAAGGAATTCCACAGAGCCATCAAGACTTCGAGGAAGGACTGCGTCACTGCCTCCCCCGATGTCACCGTCAAGTTGGCAGACAAGATCTCGAAAAGCTTCTTAGTCGTCAGCTTGGTCTTGGAAGCTGATTCGTGATTCAACTTGAAGGACACTATTTGAAAGATGCGTTGCACAGGGCTGTGGTACATGGTCTTGTAGCTGGTCCCAACATCCTCCCTTTGCTTGGCCGCTTCCCAGAACAAATTCAGCCCGGGCTTGAAGCGGCAATCGATCGTGGAAGACAGCCACGCCCTTCTCCATTCCTGCGCTGGCAACTCAATGCTTGGCTAGTAACGTATTTAGGGGCCAAGACAGCGACGGCGCCGGCCTCCTGGAACTTGTCTTGCTGCAAGTCCCTCGCTGTGGCCAAGATGAAGGCGTGATGGTCCTCCTCCGGACTGATCCTCTTCATTTGCCCATATTTCTGGTCCATAAACAAGTCATCCACTGCTACTACCAAACTTATGGCTGGGGCTTCTGTACGTGGTGTATGATCCATTTTACGCTGTTTGTACACTGGCCAAATTTGCAAGTCGAAGATCAGATACTTGCACAGCCTTTTGCATTGCCGCCTCGTAATATCACGGGGGAACTTCTCAAAGGCCTCCCCCACAGGGAGCGAGCCTGAACCAAATCAATGGGCGATGTGCTTGTGGTTTCGATCGTGCCAGCGGCTTCATTGACTCGTCCTCGGAAAGATCCGACCATATAAGCGCGTACTGATCGATGGCATCCGTTTTTGAGGCCTGCGCCCTGCAAATCATCCAGGGGTTCCTTGAAGGGATCGTAGTGGGGCACTCACGGCAGAATTATGCACTTCAGTGGGGCCAGCTGAGTGATGTTGATTGAACCATAGCAGTCTGCGCCTCGCTGCGGTTACGCAGCTGGCACCGGGGGCCTCAAAAAAAAAACACTGCGGATGATCCTTAATCTGAAAACTGCGGATGAGCCTTAATCTGAAAGCACGGGCCACGCTCTGTGAAAAGTCGAATTTGATCCGCGTCAGCAACGCTTCCGTTTTTTGTTTACCCCGGTCAATTGTTGCAGTCGCGGAGCACCAACCCAAAGCAGGGCCAGCGTCCCAGCAAATTAAACAGGAGCAGCTCTTGTCTTAATAGTGGCTCCACAGTTACTAGGCCCAGCGGATCAACCTAGCTGCCGTGAGCACCGCCCTCATTGCCTCCCTCAGGACAGGAACCGACATGGCGTTGCCCAGACACACTTTTGGGCCAGCGGAAGTTGTGGAATCCCTGCAAAGCCGCCAGCTCCTTGAGGCTGAGAAAGCGACTTTCCTTAGCACAGGCTGTAAGCGGGCTGCGGGCTGCGCAACTCGCCACACTTGATTATTTGCACTCGCTAAATCTGGTTTGGACAATAATCGTTGTCGAGCCAGAAGTTGTCGCCGGAGGCTCGTGCACATGTGATTGTGGGAACATAGCCCGAGGTGACCTGCCGGAAGTTTTTCCCGGCTCCTGTGTCGATGATGTCCCTGTCCAGATTCCAAACACCCTTCGCCTTGAGCTTCTTCCTTCCTGCCAAAATGTTGTTCCGCTTGGTTTTGCAAAGCTTCTTGATGTCCACCTTGGGTAGCCCCTTCTCCAAGAAGTCGTCCAGGCAAGCGAACTTGCTTTCAGGCAGCGAGTGGACCATATTTGGTTTTCTGGTTTTCACACCCTTGCGCGTGGACCTCCTGGCGCCCATGATGGAGATCCTCTTCCGGTTCTGCGGAAGCCCGAAACTGCGGCTGTTCACCATTCGCCAGCTCACAGCATAGGCCCGCTTCTGCGACCCAGGAAGCCGACATTCCTTGAGCTGCCGCAGAAGTTTGTTGAAGTGCTTCCTGTGCTTCTTATTCCGGATGCCCGTCAGCACAAATCCACGCGGTTGCATGCGGCAGATGTAGTCCACCACAGCCTTTGATAAATCACGTTGGTCGCATTTCCCCTGCCCGACGCCCGCCGTACCTTGGAAGGAGCAGACTAAGCAAAGACCTATGTGCAAAAAAACAGAAAGTAACCCAAACTCGGTTGAAAACAGCTACTTGTTCTGGCAGTCTGCTGTATGGTTGGCACGGAAACCCAGTTGTGTACAAGTCCCACTTCTCGCAAACATTTCCAAGAGCATATCCAAGACTCCTCGGTCCCTTTTTGTGGGAAAGAATCACCTTTCGGCAATCTGGGTCCACATCGGTGGCAAACTGAACCATGAACTCAATCCCCAGTTGCTTCGCTGCCACAACATCAGTTCCCATGCCGCTGCAGTCGCTCCGAAGCATGATTGGCCACTTGCGCTGGCAATGTGACTCCACCTTCTCCACGCGAGGAGGCTTCTTGATGCCAGTTTTCTTCACCTTCAAGGATGTCTTCCCCATGCTTCACGGACTTTCTGCGGCAACGCAGCAAGTCAGCTGAAGAAGCACCTGGAGGAAAGCTGGCTGCGGGGCGAAGCGTGAAACGGCTTGACGGGCAGACAGAACACATGAGCACACCAGACAACAGACAACAAGACGTAGTAGTCTCGGCTTGGGGCTTAATTGCACATACCCCCCAAAACAAATAGCAGGTCAGCCCGATTTTGAGCCGCAGTGCCAGGGTTCCGTACCCCCTGGCACTGCAAGTTCTGATGCATCAGAACTCGCAGTGCCAGGGGTTACCCCCCCATTTTCGAGTCCCGAGTGCCAGAGGGTTCGGAACCCCCCGGCGCTTGGGACTCGAAAATGGGGGGGTAACCCCCGGCACTGCAAGTTCTGATGCATCAGAACTCGCAGTGCCAGGGGGTTCGGAACCCCCCGGCACTCGGGCTGTCGGGCCCAAAAGAGCCCGAGGACCCGTTTGAAAAAGCATAAACGACTTAGACTCAAAAATCTAGTTCGTCAGAACTCGCAGGGGCCCAAAATCTAGTGCATCAGAACTTGCAGGGACCCAAAATCTAGTGCATCAGAACTCGCAGGGGCCCAACATTCTGATGCATCAGAATTGTTCATTTGGCAGACACAGGGAGCAACACCAAAAACCAGGCTTGCGTGGCAGAAAGCGCTCAAACAAAACTCCCACAGAATGGAGGATTTTTCGGCTGACCGGACCCGCACATCAGCCGGGACAAGGTTCCCCCCACCCCCCCACGGCTTTGTACACTGTTTAACTCCCAGCGCTTCAAGAAGCACTTTCCGTCATCAGACAGCGAGCCATCGCATAGACGTGTTTCTCTCTGTTATGACGCGGGGCAGTGGCAGCCCTCTTCCCCAGTCTGCAGATTCTGTGCAGCGACCAATGCTCGTCATTGGCGGCTGTGACCCAGGCAGAATCGCTCTATTGCCCCAAGAGCTCCCCACTGTACAAATGTATGGGCGTTGAACATCTTTGTGGATGTCAGCACGGACTTTTCCTGCACAAGTCCTACACCCACATAGTTCTTCTTGGTCTTGGCAGCTTTGGCTGCGTTCACCCAGGTGGCAGCCTTGTCCTCAGTTCTGTTACCAGGGGCGCGCCGCTCCAAACAAGGCAAACGGGACGCGGACAGGACGACAAGTGTGCCACAGCCAGCCAAGGCCCGCACGTACACTTTCCAGTTGAGCTCTTGCATGCGTGTTTGTGCCAAGACAGCGAATCGCGGATGACGTTTGCGAAATGATGGCGTAATGAGCACATGTCTTCGGGTGCCCTTGGCTGGCCCTTTGTATTTAACCCAAGGCCCAAACCCGGTCTTGATCGCAGCTTGGCTTACGATAAGACCACAAGAGAGTCGCATTAGCCATGAAGCTCGAGAGCCAGGTTTTGCGACATTGTTCACCACAACGCCTTCAGCCAAGAGATAACCATTGACCACCAGGGCACCCAAAGAGTGGAGTTTCTGGTGCAAGTCAGTAGAGAAAACTTGCAAGAACAAAGGCGCAAAAGCAAATTCAAACGCCAAGGCGCATATTGGCCAGAGCTGGAAGTTCAGGCTGACTCCGCCTGCGTTTCCGCAGCGAGCTTTCGAGCTGAGCTTGGTGGTCAGCTTTCCTCCCACGCTCCAAGCGTTGGCTGTGCTCTGCTGGACGAAGCTGCTCTTGCCGCAGCAGCAGGTCGTCTTGCTGAGCTTGAAAGCACCGTCTTTTCTTCAGCTCCGACAACTTTTTGGTCGCTTCCTCGTGCTTGGTGGAAATTGCATTTCCAGCTGCCTTGCGGGAACTTTGCTCAGCCGCAGCATGTCCCGAGGGGCATCGTTCAGCTTTAAGCATCGCTTCACACTCTTCCGGCGTCGAGCTATCCACGCGGCTTCCGAAACAGGATTTCTTGTTCGTGCCTTGGCCGGCAAGGTGTGCAAAGCGAACTCCGGCAAGTTAAAAAAAAGCTATGTGCCGCCAAGCGTCCTGCCGGCTTGCTTCTAGTCGAAGACCGGAAACAAACTTAGGTTTGCGAGCGGACCCAGATGATCTTTCAGAGCCGAAGCCTTCTTGCCAAATCTTTTGGGCAAGCATAGCAACTGCACCACCAAGACTGTTCTTGTCCCACTGGCGAAGCCGCCTCTCGAACGCCTTGAAGTAAGGGCCTAAGAAAGCCCTGTCGCGTGCAGTGTGGTACTTGATATCTGCAAAGTCACGCTCGCTCTGCGCAGTTCCAGCCGCCGATGCCAGCAAGACACGGGCAAGTGTTTTAGACATGTCCGGGCAGCGGCCGCTGACACTTGACTCTGCCAAGGTCCAGGCTTGCAAATCACCCAACTCTTCCGACTTGGACAGTTGTTTTCCTGGGCAGAGCATTGGAAAGCGACAAGCAAAGCAGGACAAGCAATATGCACCGTTAAACAAACTCAGAACCGGTCGGTGGCGTTGGGCAGTAGGCTTTAAGTCTTGGAACTGTTCATAGAGCTGCTTAGAGTTCGCGTCGAACATCTGGGAGAGCCGCAGAAGACAGCGCTGTGTTTCCGCAGCGCTCTTTTGGGGGCCGCTGAGCGAAAAGGCTGACAAGTTGTGGATCAGTTCAAATTCAGGAAACTCTGTCTTGATGGTCTGCGAGACAAGGGCGAGCCATGCAGCCATCCTTGCAAAGCACCTGTTGAAAACGATCGGCGAAACGCTGCCTCCCACACTCCTGTGCCCAGCGCCCAGTTGAATCAAACGAGGTCTTTCCAGCCACTTCAGCACCTGGCAGTCAGATCAAGTCTTTGAAGCTCTGAAAACTTATCACGGGCTTCGCGACTCAGTGCTGTCTAGAAGCGTGCTGTGTGTAACCACTGGAGGTGGCTGTTTTCTGCACGAAGAGCACATGCAGCCTTTGAGCAAAGGTTGTCAAGCAGGTTTGCGCTGCACTCATGTCCATCTGGCTCTTGTCAAATCTGCGTAAAATTCTGATCTCCTCATCAGCAGCGTCAGCCATCATAGCCATTTGCAGGTACACCTCTGTGGATATA